GGGGGGTGGTGTCTTGGATCCATCCTGTTCTTGGCCTCGTCCATTCCCAGCCCATTCCCATCCTCATCACAGCCCATTCCTGCCCAATTCCCACCCCATCCTCATCCCATCTGCATCCCAAGTGTCCCCTTGGCCCCGTTGCACCCATGGCCATGTCCAGGGGGTCCTGGTGTCACTTTGGCCCCATTGGATCCATGGTCCATGTCCAAGGGGTCCTGGTGTCCCCTTGTCCCTATTGGATCCATAGTGATGTCCAGGGGTTCCCATTGACCTCATTGCACCCGTGTCCAACCCATCCCATTGACCCATATCCATCTCCAACCCATCCCATTGACTCCCTTGACCCATGTCCATGTCCAACCCATCCCATTGACCCATATCCATCTCCAACCCATCCCATTGACTCCCTTGACCCATGTCCATGTCCAACCCATCCCATTGACCCATATCCATCTCCAACCCATCCCATTGACTCCCTTGACCCATGTCCATGTCCAACCCATCCCATTGACCCCATTGCACCACGTCCACATCCAACCCATCCCACTGACCCCACTGGATCCACGTCCACCCCAAGGCACCCCATGGACCCCAACCACCTCCCCCTATCCCGTCAGCCCCGTACCCCCACTCACCCGCACCAGCCGCGCTCTCTTGACCAGGTCGTTGAGCTTGCGGAGCGCGGCGTTCCGGGGCAGGTTCTGGATCTCCTGGAACAGATCCTGCTCCTCCAGCTCAAAGAGCTGCCGGTTGTCGGCGATGAGCAGCGGCTCCGACCAGAAGGACCCGATGAAGACCCTGAGCACCTCGGGGGTGTTGAAGACCTTCCCTAAGGACCACATCAAGGCCCCATAGACCCGCATGAGCTGCTGCGTCTCCACCATGTCGGCCTTGTTGAGGACCACCCGGATCTTGTCCTCGTTGCCTTTGAGGGCCCGGATGGCCTCGGAGAACTCATCCGAGATCTCCAGCTTGTGGGCATCGAAGAGCAGGATGATGAGGTCCACGCGCTCCGCGAACCACTGCAG